TCATTATAATCAATATCTTTGGGTTTCTTTATTTAAAAATGATCTATAGTAACACTTTTTTTTTCTGGTGAAAAGTTGTATGAATTTTAACATATATACAGATTCATGAAAACCCCACCAAAATCAGAACACAGAACAGTTAGACCATTCCAAAAACCTCTCTCATGCTATCCCTTGGTAGTCACACCCTCACCTCACCCCAAGACCCCTGGCAACCACTGATCTGTTCTCCACCACTAAAACTTGGTCTTTTTTCAAGAATTTTTGAGAATGCCAAATTAATGGTATCATACAATATGTAACTTTTGAAACTGGGTTCTCTCACTCAGCACAATGTGTTTAAGATTCATCCAAGTTGTGTATATCAATAATTTGTTCCTTTTATTGTTGTATATTATTATATGCTATGGACGTTCCACAGTTTATCAATTCACCTGTTGAGAAGCTTTGGGGTGGCATCCAACTTTTGACTGTCACAAATAACAGTGCTGTGAATATTCATGTACAGGTTTTTGTGTAAACCAGGTTTTCATTTCTCTAGGCTATATGCCTAGGAGTGGAATTGCTGGGGGTCAAATACATATTTAACTTCATAAGAAATTACCAAACCATTTTTCATTCCCATCAGGAATGTATGAGAGTTTCAGTTGCTCCGTATACTTGTCGACACTAGGTATTGTCACCATTTTTTCATTTTAGCCATTCAGTTAAGTATGTAATTGTATCTTTTTGTGTTTTTAATTTGCATTTCCTGAATGTCTAATGATACTGACTATATTTTCACATGCTTATTTGCCATCCTTATATCCTCTTTGCTGAAGTGTCTGTTCAAGCCCTTTACTCATTTTAAGTTGTGTTGTTCTCTTATTATTAAGTTTGAGATTTCTTTACATATTCTGGATACAGGTCCTTTGTTGGGTATGTAGTTTTCAAATATATCCTCCTAGTCCATATCTTGTCTCTTCATTCTCATGACAGCATCTTTGGAAGAACAAAAGTTCTTAAATTTGATGAAGTCTAATTTATCCATTTTTTTTTTTTTATCATTCCTAAGAGCTCTTGGCCTAACCTCAGGTCACAAGGATGTAGCTTATGTTTCACATTTAGATCTATAATCCATTTTGAGTTAAATCTTTATGTAAGGTATGAGATTTATATCAAGGTTTATTTCTTTTCCTACGGACAACCAATTTTTCCGATACACATCAGTGAAAAGAAATATCTTCCCTCCACTGAAATGTGTTTACACTTTATCAAAGATCAAATGACTGTGTTTGTGTGAGTCCATTTCTGGTCTTTCTATTTTGTTCCCTCGATCTCTATGTCTTTATCTTCTGGCTGGGTCTCTTTTAACTAAAAACAGATAAATTTGTCATGTGTCATGAGCAATAGAGGGGGGAGGGAAAGCAGTCCCCTGTGTTCCCAAGAACTAGGAACAATTAATCCCTCCCATCACCTATTTCCTGCCACTTCCTAACTCAGGTATCACAGAAACTTAGGTGAACCAGTTAGTTTCATGGTATAACAAATTAATAAAACCAAATGTCTTCTTCCTTAAAGGCTTTCTTCACACCCAGTGTTTTCCTGGTGATGTCAACTGAAAAATATGCCAGCTTCACATGACTGAACAGAGGGAAGGGCGTTGCACCCTGACTTAAGGAAAAGTTTCAGATGAAAATATAACTCTGTTTACCAGGTAGAGAGATAATGAACATGGAAATACCTTACTATTTAATTTGAAAATAAAGTGTCATCCAAGCCATAGCAGGAGTTTTATTACATTGGCATCTGGTCTCTGTTAAAAATAAGTTTCTGGGTTGCCTTTCAGCATTGGGCCATTTGAGTGAGGAAGATCCAGAATGACATTCCAGTGCACAGAAATATAAATGGATGGACACACAGCCAGATGGACACAGATCTAGATAGTTTCCTTTCCTCTAGCCCCATCTGGGATCACTGAGTATATACTATGTTGTAACAGGTCATCTTTGCTGTTTTATGCATCTCAAAGTATTTTATTTATTAGAATGGTCACTTTAATGTTTAAGGCAAAGAAATATTCACCACTATTCATTGAGGGTCAGTTATGTGTTAGGTTAGTGCTTCCTAACATTTTTGGCACCAGGGACTGGTTTCGTGGAAGACAATTTTTCCACGGGCAGGGTGAGGGGCTGGGTGTTGGGGGGTGATGGTTCAGGTGGTAATGAGAGCTTTGGGGAGCAGCAGAGGAAGCTTCACTCGCTCGCCTGCCGCCCACCTCCTGCCATGTGACCCGGTTCCTAACAGGCCGCAGACCAGTATCGGTCCACGGCCCGGGGGTTGGGGACCGCTGTGTTAGGTACCGGGCTACACAGGTGACACAGAACAGACAGGGTCTGTTCATTGTTGGGGGCTTCCTCACAGCTTAAACAATTATCTCTATTTGGTCCTCTGAACTGTCAGATTTGAGTCACCCTGGGATTAAAAGAAATCTTTGAAAAAATAAGTCAGAATTTGTAATCTTGGTGAAGTTTAACAATTTTGTATACTTAAGATTGATCTGAATCGAGCCAACCCTTCCCCTTTTTGGTATGAAAATCCTGGCCACTAAGGTAAATCAGTAACAAACACCTTTGCTGGTGAACCAGGTGACATGATCTTCCCAGGGCTTCTTATGTTGATGGTTTAGGGTTTGAATGCCTTGTTCAACTGACTTTAAAGAATAACTTCTTGGTCCTCACAACAGAAATTGAGCTAAAGTTGGTTTACATGTTCATACTTGCATTTGGTCTGAGTCATGAGAAACAAGGATATTTATTTCCCGAGGAAAGAGGGAAATCTGAGTCCATTTTTAATCCCTCTCAGTGACACAGCACAGTGCCTTGGGCAATCTGTTGCTCAATAAATATTTGCTGATCCAATATCCAATTAGCCAGAGATCTCTATCTACAAAGAAACTTTGTCTTTGCCAATCTGTCAGAGCACTTGTGTTTGTGGGACTGCCCTGTATTTCAGAACCTTTGCCCATAAGGAACATCCTGGAGCAGGGAACTGGTTGTGTCTATACAACCCCCCATTTCCCGGGTACAGCATCCTGGTAAAATTAGACTCGAGTAAAAAGCCACCCTGAGCGCGTGCTCCTGCTTCTCCCAGGCTCCTCAGTTGTCCCTGTTCATTGCTTTCCCCGCTCACATCTGGCAAGTGTCACTGGACCCTAGCACGAGAGAAGAACGCCACTTTCAGCATTTTGATCAGCTGCGGTTCTGGAGCAATCGAGGTAAGGCCACCACAGGCACAAAAGGATGAAAGTCTGTGCATCTGATGACAGGCGACGGGGGTAGCCTTAGAATAGTAGGAAAGGCCCCACCAGAGGAGAGGGACTCCTGCATTAATGATTACAGTGAAGCAGAAGTAAGGACAACAGCAAGAACACCTGGGAAACACAGGAGGACTTTGGTGAAGTTGAAAGTGAGGTGGAAAGAGAACTCTGAATTGCAAGAAGCACAGAGGAAAGAGACTCTTGGTCTGTGAAAAACTTGATAGTTTGGAACGACTGACCAGCGGTAAGAGAAGGCAAAAGAAGAAGATTCTGAAATATTCGGGAACATTTGCTCTCAAAAGAAGGAGGTTTAAAATTACAAATGGAAAAAAATGAAAAGTCGAGGCGGTATTGAGGAGGGGCGGCTTTACCATATTCACATCAGACTGCAGGTTCCCAGAGGGGAGCTGCAGAAGCTGGACGGAACACTGGGATTAGTGAGGTGGGTGGAGCACGGTGCAGCCCGAGCTCTGATGTGGATGTGGCTTTCAGATGGTGCCAAGTTCAGGAAGATATGAGAATGCTGTGGTTACAGAACGCAGAGCAGCCCAGGCGCCCAACATGGTTGCTGAGCACCCAGAGGATGCACTCAGAGGTGGGTTTGGAAAAAACACTTGCCTTTGGAACATTGCTCCGAATTGACCTGGGCTCCCAGAAGTGCTCTAATACCTTTAGATCATCTGATAGCAGACTCTGATGTTTACCAGTTTCAGGGAGATCAAGCCATTGTGAATTTTTTTTTCTGTAATAAAACTAGCCCCAGCCAGCCAGACTGGGAATTTGCTGCCTGAGCTGTTTTCCAACATAGTTTTGCTGGCAAAACCAGATGTGAGTGTTTCCTCGACTCTTGAGGAGCCTGTTTACACTGACTTTATTTTTACTGCCAGCTTTCAGGTGGGAAGAGGGAGATTTAAAGGTCAGCAGGTGAGCGGAAGGATCCTGTCCTGCCATCCCTGGGTGTGCTTCTGTGTGCCTGTGTGTGTCCATACCTGTGTGTGTGTGTGTGTGTATGTGTCTGTCCATACCTGTGTGTGTGTGTATGTGCCTGTGTGTGTCAATGCCTGTGTGTGTGTGTGTTTCCACATGAGAATTGTTGTGTCTTGATCACTTGTTTGTAGGCATAATCATGGGTGCCAGGCTGGTTGTTTGGCAGTTTCTTATTTGTTTATTGTAAAGAAGGTAAATCCATCTGTGGGGTTTTCTGGATTGGAGGGCAAGGGGTATTTACTGTCAACAGGATTAGAACAAGGAGATATAAGATACTGAGCTCAAAGGTGCATCTAGTGTCAGGATAAGAGCATAAATAGTTCGGAAGAAGCCAACTACAGGGCGTTTCCGTCTTGAATGGAACTTCTGAGTATTTGAGTGGGAAACACAACTTGGAAAATTGCCCTTCGGTCAGCGCACCAGTCAACAGAGCTAAATAGAGTACAATTTGGCTGGACTCAAATGCAGTTTCATCAACTCTCCTTCTTCAATTTTTTTTTTTTAATTTCCCAAAAGATGAAAGATGGATGCTCACAATTTGGAAATGAGAGCTTGAATGAAGAATTGAGAAGGCAAGTCTGTGGTCCACATACACATTCCCAGAGAAATTCAGCACCCAGAGACTAATATCACTGAGAAATCTACGCACAAGTGCTCTCTCTGCTGAGAGACAAACCAAGACGTTGCTGTTCTGCTCAGCATAGACCAAGAAGACATGAAATCCCTAATGGAAGGAAACTTAGAAGATTGCCTGCTGAATAAGGTAAGGACAGATACGGGTCTCTCCCATGCGCCCCTCCCACCCTCCTGCCCCACCAACCTTGATGCAGAAAGTATTTCAGCCTGTTTCCAGAGATACAGAATGCTCCTCAGGAACTCAAGACCATCACCCATAAGAGTGTTCAGGGACTTACCATATTTCAGTCCTCTCTTTGAGGTTCTAGTGCAAGAGGTACATTGGGAATAGAATGTGGAAGGAAGAGTTAGAACTTGGGCTGGAACTCCGGCTCTGCCACTGATGCCTGGGTGGTCATGAGCAAGACACCTAACCTGTCTGAGCCTCAGTTTTCTTCTCTGTAAAATGGGAGTGATAATAGGATCTTAGCGGGGTCTTTAAAAAAGAGTAAATAAGAAAGCTCTTTGAAAACTGTAAAACTGCTAGATCAAAATATGTATTACCACTATATTTTTAGTACGCATCAATTAAGAACTAATTTAATTTCTTCTCTGTAGAGTCATAGGCTCTTTGGATGTTAGAACTTGAAGGGACATTAAATATTATCCAGTTTAAGCCTTTCCATTTACAGCCAAAGCAATTAAGGCACAGAGCCACCCTTAAAACTAAAACATGTAAACAAAGAGTTAGGCACTAGTCTAGGGTTTTCATGCCTTTACGAGTAAACAAAGCAGAGTTCATTATTATAATGATAAGTCAAGTTGATTTCTTAGGCAAAACCATTAAGAGGGATAAATAGGGAAGACTTATCATAATAAAAATTATGGCAAACAAAATGATTTCTCCTTTTGGGGGCTATAGGTGGAAGAGGCGTTAGCTGGCATTTCTCCATTGTCCTGTGTTTTCTGAAAGAAAAAAATCCAAATATTTTAGCCTGGCATTCAAATAATACTTTATCTTTCTACTCTCTGCTTCCCTGCATCTTCAATCACAGAAATTCTAAACAAAAGCTCTCTATGTGGAATCCAGCCTGAGCATGTGTTTTCTTTGGCCTGCAGAGAATTTTTAAATTTTGCCAAATTTGTTACAGACATTTCAAAACAGTGAGATTTTGCTTAGAAATCCAGCCTTCCATCTTCTCTGGAAAAAAAATCAGGCTATCTGGCAACCACAGGTCCCAGTTTCTTACCTGGCAGCCATGGGCTGGAGCCGAGTGTCTGTCCCACTGGAGGCTGCGGCACTGCTGGGGTCTGACATCCGCCTCCCCTGCCCGCCCCATGTGTGTCCCCTACTTGGCCCCGTAGGTGGTTGAGTCTGACAGCCCGGTCCCACAAGAACTGTGCCCTGAGAAGGTCTCAGGCCAGAGCGTCCCTCCCCCGCAGCGGGGGAGATATCCTGTCTCTTCTTCATTTTTCTGGCTCATCCTCATCCTTCAAACTCAGCTCAGAGTCCACTTGCTCATGAAAGATTAATCTGACACCCCAACAGAAAACGTTTGTGTCTTCCTGTGAACTCCCATCATAATGATCCCTGATCATATTTATTTGGCGATCAATTGTATCTTGACTCCTGACGCCTTTCCTGTTGTTATCTTGGTGGCAACTTAAATAGTATATCATTTTATTCTTTATAAGTTTCCAGAGGGAAGAACAGTGCCTTGGATATCTTTATTCCCCTTGAATTCACATAGTATCGTTGCACATATGTGGTCAGAGGTATCTTCAGGGCTCATTGAAGCTAATGCAAGACGAGTGTTAAAGGTGCTAGCAGGTTCAGGCCCTACAGCGTCTCATTTAATCAACAATCATGTGACACGTGCATATTACCTCCATTTTAACAGAGGAGGAAGCAGGGCTCATGCTGATTAAGCAGCGTGTCCAAAGTCACACAGTTAGTGAAGATGCTGCGGTTTCAGCCTATTCTTCTTTTACACCAAACCACATTTCATCTGCTAAACCCTCTCTATCACCATAAACACACACAGTGCAAAACACAGTGCCCAAAACACAGGTCCGGATGTGGCCTGCTTAGCGAGAGAGAAATTTTGTGTTTGGGTATCTTTAAGGGTGGCCCTATCTCACCTGCAGATTTTGCACATAACCCCAAAGGTAAAAGGAGGAAGCTCCCCATGCAGACAGCAAATGATTAACATCACAAGCGCTACATAGAGATTTATTTATTTATTTAATTTTATTTTCAGCTGCATTGGATCTTCATTGCTGCACGTGGGCTTCCTCTAGTTGCAGTGAGCGGGGGCTACTCTTCACTGCGGTGTGCAGGCTTCTCATTGCAGTGGCTTCTCTTATTGTGGAGCACGCGCTCTAGGTGCACAGGCTTCAGTAGTTGCAGCCCACAGGCTCAGTAGTTGTGGCTCGCAGACTCTAGAGCGTAGGCTCAGTGGTTGTGGTGTACGGGCTTAGTTGCTCCACGGCACGTGGGATCTTCCCGGACCAGGGCTTGAACCCGTGTCCCCTGCGTTGGCGGGCGGATTCTCAACCACTGTGCCACCAGGGAAGCCCGCTACGTAGAGATTTAAACAAGGTGCTGGAGGGGAAGAGAGCAGTGTGACCTCTGATGGGAGAGACGTTTCACAGAGAGAGCGATGACAAAGCCTTAGCGCATGTGTAACGCGTAGGGTTTTAACAAGTGGAGGAGAGACCTTCCAGCTACTGGAGCCCCATTCAAGCAGTTAGCGGTATTCATTCCCAGTCTCCTTGTCCTTGGGGAGGCAGAGCGGTGCAGTGATTATGAACAAGGGCACTGCCTGGGTGTGGATTCCTGTTCTGTGACTTACTGACTCCGGGACCCTGTGTAAGTTATTACACTTTCTGAACTCCAGTGTCGTCCTCTGTAAAATGGGGATTATCATAGCATCCACCTTAAAGGCTTATCGGGAGTCTCAAAGGGGCTAACCCTTATAAAGTATCCTGCGCACAGCAACGCCTCACCAGTCTTAGCTCCACAGTGCTGCTGTTGCTATGGCTTCTGCTGTTTGGGAGCTGCAAATATCCTGTGGGGCCCAAGCATTTGGTTCATGGAAGAATTAGTCTAAAAAGATGGAGAATGTGATGTCTTATCTGTATGGATCACTGAATTTAAGTCTCCGTGCCTTTAAATTATGAACCCCTGGAAGACAGAGACAGTCAGTGTCTGCACCCCCCACCCCACCACTTTTTTAAACTGATTATTGGAGTTAATGCAACTCCAGAATTAAAAGTCTGACTTCCTGTTGTCTAGAAGGAAGTTCTCAGCCTTTTTCCCCAGTGGCACTCACCATGGATGACATTCGCATTGGTCACATGCTCCTGGGTGTGGCCAGGCCTGTGTGGCATTTCTGGTGCACTATTTAGCATACCCCCTACCTCCCTCTCAGGAAAGCATGTGGGAATACAAGTGAGTCAGACTGATGTAATTATAAGGAATAACCTTGAATTCTCAATAATTTATATTTAAAACAGGAAATTGTTCACAAACTTGAGCTATTAATAGCAGCAAATGATGTGGGACAACAATGGGCCTGACGCTGTGCCTGGGGAGGTGAACATGCGTGTGGGCACATAGACAAGCCCTGGAGGGAGGCCCACAAAAAATGGATGGCAACCTTAAAGGTGCCAACAGTCTCTAATGACTGTTTCTGCGTAAACTCTGCTTGGTTAGAGTGACTAAATCTGCACGCTAAGGAGTGTGGCATAACTTTTGCAGGGTCAGTGCAATGCAGGGGTTGGATTAGATGATCTAACCACATCTAACATCATGGGCCTGGTTAATTTACCACAATTCATTTCTGCTTTTGCTCTGCCACACCCACAAATGCTTCCCTTTAGAAACAAAGTGTTTCTCTTTATTTATTTATTTTTTAAGACAAAGTCTCTTTACTTTTTATTTATTTATTTGGGCTACGTCGGACCCTAGTTGCAGCAAACGAGATCTTCATTGCAGCTCACGGGTTCTTTCGTTGTGGCACTCGGGCTTCTCTCTATTTGAGGTGTGCAGGCTTCTCTCTAGTTGTGGTGCACGGGCTCCAGAGCACGTGGGCTCTGCAGTTTGTGGCACGCAGGCTCTCTAGTTGAGGCGCACGGGCACAGTAGTTGCCATGCGTGGGCTTAGTTGCCCCTTGGCATGTGGGATCTTAGTTCCCTGACCAGGGATCGAACATGTATCCCCTGCATTGGAAGGCAGACTCTTTACCATTGGACCACCAGGGAAGTCCCAACCTTTGTGCATTGACCTAATCAGCAGAGGACGTGAATGAAACTTAAACAGGCACTCAAGGTCAAGTTTGGACTGCATGAGGGAATTCCCTGGTGGTCCAGTGGTTAGGACTTGGTGCTTGCACTCTTAGGGCCCAGGTTCAATCCCTGGTCAGGGAAATAAGATGCCACAAGCTGCGGGGAGCGGCCAAAAATAAAAAAAAAATTTGGACTGAATGGGCTTTGATCCATCTTCTTAAATTATCATATTTCCTCCTTAAGTTTGTTTCAAAGCTTTGCTGTGAAATAAATTTAGTTACAAGGCTGCTTCAAGGTTACAACTGGTATCTTAGCTTGCTTCCTGAATTCTGAGAGGCAACAAAGGGATTCTGACATTGGGCTGGCGACCGGTGGAGCCTCCTTCTTTCACCAAGACCACTCCCTGTAAAGCTGCCTCAGGCCCCATTTCCTGCTTTTCCACACAGTGAAATGGAATCTTCTTACCGATAGGCATGGTCAGGACAAGCGGAGGGAAATAGCCTGGGGCTTCTGGGTTGTGGTTTAGACCATGGGAGTGACAAGAGGTACATGGGACTGAGCCTGGGAAACCCCCAGCCCAAACCCCTTTGGGGGCCGGTGAATAGCTCTGTGATCCTGTTTGCTAAGAACCAATGGCAGGAAGTGTATCCAGAGACATAGGCAGGAAGGGGCTGCCCATCACCTAACAGGAAAGTGGCTCCCCCTTGACTCCAGTGGCTTGGGTCCTGGGGCAGGCCTGTCCAAGGCAGGGCTCTCCCTCCACAGCTCTGGTTAAGCCCTGCATCGCTGTCCGGCCCCTGGTGTGTTGCCCTTATGTGTCTGCGGCATGCCAGAACAGTCAGTGGTGTGGCATGCCAGAACAACTTTGGACTTATTATTTCATGAACTCCAAACTGAGGGCATGGTCAGGTTCAGAAAGAGGATAAAGGTAGGTATTATTTCTAGAACTCCTAATTAAGGGTGTGGCACAGTGTGACAGAAAGAAGAGTTGGGGAACCTGGGCATTAGGTCTAGTCATACTGCTAAGTACCAGTGCGATATTAGGAGGGCCACCCTGTCACTCTGGCCTTCTCTAAAAGGATACCAGACAAGATGATTTCTGAGACTCTTCCAATTCTAAGATCCCGAGTTTAAATTGCAGCAAAAGTGACCGGTAAAGAAAATTAAAACCAGAATTTGTGGCTCTAGGTCCAGAAAAGTATTTCCTTATTCTGACTTTTATCTTCACACGTCAAAACAGGTCATAAAGAGGAATAATGAATGAGAAATTATAGGTGTCTTCTAAGGGGTGTCTGAACTTGTCCTGCTGGTAAGAAAATTCTACCATCAAATGGCGGCATAATTTGTAGATGAGGTTCACAATGGAGAATTGTTCCCACTAGGTGCGCGTGCACGCACGCGCGCGCACACACACACACACACTTTCAAGCTTTTATCGGTTAAAAATTATTTGATAGTATCCATACGGTAATGAATCTTTCATTAGTTTATTAACATAGGAAACAAAATGTATCTGCATCTATAGAGTCACCACTGTGTTACTAACAGTCAAGTTCTATGGACTCACATCAGTGGACTTGGAAGATTTGGGAAATTAGCCTTAGTCCTCAGCACATTCTGAGAACTTAACTATTCGAGATTACTGTTTCCCAGCCATTCTGACTGCAACGTTCTATCTAGTTAGCCCTTGTCTTACTTTTCCCCACTGTTCCTGATCAGATGTCTGGCCCCTGAACTTGTCCAATGTCCCCTAATCTACCAAACTGGCTCCATCCACTCTCTGCCCAGAGGCTCGAAAACATGGCCCTCCACCGATCTCTTCCCTTGCTCTCGTCCAGATCTTGCCAGCAAACTCTAGTCTCAGCACCTCCACTGTTACCCCTGGAGGGCCGGGAGGTACTGGACAACCTCTTATAAATGAGCACACTGGTATCGCACAGCCTCGTGCACCCACAGCTGAGTCTTGGTTCTGCCTGGCGACCTTTACCCATGTGCCCAAATGGCCCCTCATCCCTTAGAGAAGCTTTTGCCAATGTCTGTCACCCTGAAGTCCCCTGCTGTCCTCTTCTCACCTCACTCTCAACGCACTGCCTTGTCTCCTGCTGACGTCCGGCAGGAAATCTCTGTGCTTTTACCTGCATTTGCACCCATCTTCTTTTCCTTCGGACACACGGAGACGAGCTCCTCACCAGGTTTCTTCCACAGTGCTTCCTGGCTGGGAAACCCTTGCTCAGGGGTTTTGCTCTCTGCCCTCTTCCTTCTTCCCTGGCTCTTTTCTCTCAGCATCTAAACATGTTCGAACCTGTGTGTCCTTTTGAAAACAACCCGTCGCTGTCCTTGTTTTTGTTTTTTCCTTCCCCCAGCCAGACTTGCGGGAGAAGTCGCCCACCTCTGACTTCACTTGCTGGTTTCCCATTCTCTCTAAACCCACTGCCATCTGGCTTGACGCCCACGGTTTCCCCAAACACATCAGTCCTGTTCTAGTTACCAAGCTCTACGGGCATTTGGGGGGCCTCAGCTCACTCGGCCACTTACTGTTGACTTTGTTCTTGAAATTCTTCTTCCTTTACTTTCAAGACGTCTCCCCGTTTGTTCTCCCACCTCACCATTCTCCTCTAAGGCAACGTCTGCTCCAACCAAGTAGAAGCAATTGCCGTTCTCCCCTTGTGCTCCTTGTGTTAAGGTATCTACCATTTTCTCTTTCTAGAACAACCTTCTCTTTCTAGCTAACTCCTGCTAACCTTTCAAGATACAACTCTGATATACCATGCCTTCAGGAAGGCCTCCAGGCTAGACGCAGTTTCCCTTTCTTGTGTACCCTTAGCATCCTTTGCAAACCTATACTTAGCACTAATGGCTGTAATTTTAATTTCCAGTTTATTGGTCTTGCTTTGTCATCTTATCTGTCAACCTCTTGACAACACTGTAGGCACAGAACCTGGCATGAACTGGATGTTCAACAAAAATTGGCCGAATGGAATTGAATCCCAGCACATCAGAGAAGTCCTACACTGGAGAGACCCTTAATTATGCTTCTACAAGCATTTGCCTTTATTTGGGGAATGGCAAATGACCTGCCCCTCTCTGTGACTACCTTCTCTCTTCCACTTACATACTCCAAAAGATGCAGAATCTTGATAGTTTGCAGATGCTCAAAAAAGCTACCCTTTGTCCCTTCTCCCATGATGAATCCTCTGAGATGAACACACGGAGAGGGGTGGGTGGCTGCTGGTGGCAAGGAGATGATATTAAAAGCTAGTATAGACCTGATCATCGTACTTAAGGTCACATAAGACACACGCTCTGCAGCATCTCTGAGGGAGACCCTTATCAAACACCAGCCTGCAGGTGCCTCCGGAGCAACGTGACAAAGAGCCCCTTCCAGGTCTTGGAGACTTGCCGTGCAGATTCAGAAGAAACATCAGTGCACACCTTTTCTTAAGGGTCTAGGAGCCAAAGGAGGGCGTGAGCACAGGGGAGAAGGGAACCATCATTTATTGATGACATACAGAAGACAATCTGCTGCATGTTCATGTGCATTGGACTATTTTATATTCACCAACCTGGACAGCAGGCATTCTTATCCCATTTTAGACTCTCACCATGGTTCACAAAACCCTGGGGGATGGCCTGGCCCCCACCATCCTTTCCAAGTTCCTCTCCTATCACCCTCCTCCTTCTTTTCCTATAACCACAGCAAAGGCCTCCTTGCTGGCCCTTGAGCCTTGCCAAGCTTGCTCCTGCTTTAGGGGCCTTGGAATTTGCTTTCCTAAGATGTCATCAGGGCTCACTCAAATCTCACCTCCTTCGAGAGGCCTTCCCTGGCCACCGGTCTAAAATAGCAGCCCCTTTATTCTCTAGTCCCTTATCCTATTGTATTGTTCTTCTTGGGACTTATACCTGATCTTACATTATACATATGTGTGTACACATATATGTATATATGTTTGAGTGTATGTATGTATGTATACACACACACATACGCATGTGTCCTGTATTTTCAACTGGAAAGCAAGTATCTCTATCTTGTTCGCTGCTGTCCTGTTCACTGTCATGCCGAGGACCTAGAAAGCACCTACTGCAAGGCAGGGACTACATAAATATTGAGCAACGCTTCTATTTCAGAAGAGAACACTGAGGCACCAATGAGTGTCATCAGACCTAAGTTCATCTCTCCTGGAGTTCTTGGAAGGGCAGGATTTTCTGAGCTGACTGCTTGGTGCCCTGTCTCGTCACTTCCTTGGGGCTTGATCCGGGAATAACTGCCTTTGCTGATCCTTTCACACCCAGGTGGACTTGAGGCGCCAGTGGATTTCCCAGATGGTGGAAGAGGTGCAGAAAATTGTCCATCATCTGACCACAGAAATCAGCTACCAAGACATTCGATTTCAAGCCATCCTTTACTCTGACACGTACAATGAGAACATTAAGGTACGTAGGTCACTTGGCTCTAAGTGCCCACCCAGCGAGCCAGGAAACAGGGGTGTGGTCTCAGCATGTGTCAGGCACTCACACCACTAAGATTACTAACAAGATCTCTTAGTATTTACCATTTACACTCACTGCATAGATGTTACTGCAGTTGAAGCCCCACATTCCTACTTTACAGATGATAAAAATGGAGGCTTAAAAAAGTCAAATGACTTGATCAAGTCATATTAGGCACTAAAACCAGAACTCCACCTGTGGCTTCTCATTCCAAAGCATGTTCCACTGTACCAATTAAAGTTCAGTTAAGCACACATTCATTTATTAAGCACCCATTTAATAGATTGGGGACTGGGTACAGGGAACTCAAGGCATTGGTGAGAAAAGAGTTGAAAGTGATAGTGGATGGGCTACAGGTGGGAGAGGGAAGAAAGTGGAAGAGGTGGCCCTTAGGAACTGCAGGAGCAGCCTGGCAACTCCGTACCTGCTGAGGAATCCCACAGAGCTCTAAGCCCCCAGGGCCCGTGTGTGACAACCAGCATTCATGCAACACTGTAGTGTGGGCAAAGCCAGTCTCACAGAAATGATCTCACCCAAACCTGCACACAACCTAGAGGAACAGACATTATTGTTTGCTCCCTTTTAGAGATGAGAGAAATGAGGCTCTGAATCATTCTGAATCTCTGTGTTCCTTTATCTTGATTTTTCTTGTGACACACAAGAACCCCTTTCATATAAGTATTAAACTTATGTGTACGCATGCCCCAGCTCTCACACAAGACCATAAGTTCCTTGCTTATAAGGATCATGTTCCTTGATTGCTCCCTTCCTAGCACCCAGCATAGTGTGTGGCCCATGATAGACACTCAACTTCTGTTGAATGAATGAGGAATCAAAAGAATTAGTACCTGAACGAAAGACCATTGCTAGTCCAGTACATTTCAAGTTTGGTGGGTACAAGGACCACCCACAAGATGCTGGGACTTGTGGACAGAGTCAGACTTTAGGAAATTTACTCCAGGATGAAAATTATAAAATTAGATTGGATCCTGGAATGTCAGAACATCATCTGCCCACCTCTACTACCTTGCCAACCTAAACAGCACAAATATAGGCAAGTGACTAGGAATAGAAACATAACACCACTTTTCCCAGAACTATATCTGGAGAAATTTCCTTCTGTGGTCGCACTTAGAATTCATAGCTTAAAGTATATCTTGCATTTATATACACTGTATCCTGCATATTATATAAGTTTTGAAAATAGTTACAGTGGGGCATATAAAAATGCTTTTATTTTATCTTGGCCCAAATTCAATAAGCATTTATTAACCACCATTTTTGGGACTAATAACATGATAGTTGTGTTCTTGGATTCACATGCAAGAGGGTTCAAAAAATGTATAGATTTGGGGGTTTTTGTTTGTTTTTGTTTGTTTGTTTTGGCCGCGCCGCACAGCATGCAGGATCTTAGTTCCCCGGACAAGGATGGAACCCGTGCCCCCTGCGGTGGAAGCGCAGAGTCTTAACCAGTGGACCGCCAGGGAAGTCCCCCAAAATATATAGATTTTAAATGCCATAGTTTAGATCCCCCCTCCCTTGTTTTAATCCCACCACATTTCAATGGACACCAGAAGTCATGTGCACCCATCATCTAAAGCATCCATACTACTGTTCCATGAAAATGCGCCAGAATGAGTTATTTCTGATTTCGGTGTTCACCCCTGAATTCGCCACTCACTGGTCCCTGGGCAAAGGTTATTCAAATTCCACTGTCAGAACTTTCCGTGGAAAGGAGGTGGCTCTTCCAGTGTATAGCTGAGTGATGGGGAAACATGCAGGGTGGAGTGGGCTGCTCTGTGATGTGATTAAAGGTCATTTCCCTTTGGTGGTACTGCACTGTGGACTAATTTGTTCTATCTCTTGGACTATTGGCCTGACCACTGCTTTCCCGGTTCCTGTAGAAACAGAGTAAGTAGATTCTTAGTGTTTACTTCTTCCCGTTAAACTTAGAATCATCTCAATAGCTCACCTTGTCACAACAAACAGGCTTTCATGTCACCTGTGATTCTGTAAGGATTAGTCATTAACACTGTCTGTGGGTCATCAGTACAAGCAAAAAGAAAGGGAGGCATTTTGCAGAATTCTTTCACGTCCTCTCCCATCTCTTCCCACCCTTAATTCATACCGGATCTTTCACCCATCCCGGGTCATTGATTCTCGACTAAGAACCAGCTCAGGAGAGACAATTAACCATTGAACAAGCAATCAGAAGACCCTAAAGTCAAGTTCCGGCTCTACCACTGACTGGCTGTGTGTCCCTGGGGAGACTTGGAGCCTCTCTGAGCCTCAGGTTCCTCATCTGGGAAATGTTAGCAAAGCCCACCTCATGCGTAGCTGTGAACATGAGATAGGCTAATGCACAAGAATTGCAGTGCTTGCTTGGTAGGTGCAGAAAGCAGTGACTACTAGTTCCCCTCCCTGCTTTTTGTGCCCCTCCCCTCAAGCTTTAGGTGCCTCTAGAGTTCTGGGTCCACTTCACTCTTTTTCCTTGCAGATCCATGAAACCCAGCCCTCACTGAGTTAATTTCTTTGCCCGAAGCGTTACAATGGGCTAGTGGCACAACAGAGACGGAATCCTCTGCCAACAGGCGGGCAGGTGGGCGCAGTTCTGTCCTCCTTGTCACATTGCTAAGGGTTGAGTGGTTAACTGAGCGGCCTGGGTCAGCAGGGCGGCTCCCTGAGGGCTTCTGTCACCTCCCGAGTCTATGAACTCACACTCCTTCTCCCTCCGTTCCTAACCCCAGGTTTTGGCCCCCACCCAGCTCCTCATCACAGTCCCGATGAGAGGCCTGGCCGGGTACAGGGAGGCCCGGCAGCAGCGCTGGCGCTACTACACCCTGCAGGGCGCCCGGCTGCCCTGCCCCCTGCGGGACCCAGAGGGCCTGCAGCAGTGGCTGGAGGTGGAGCAGTTTCTGAAGAGCCTGTGGCAGTGGCACGAGGCAGATGTGAACATTGACGGAGACATTGTGCCCGCCAAGGTCCTCCAGGTGTTCCGGAAACTGGTCGAAAACGCAATTGAAACCTGTCACCTGTCAGGTGAGCCGATCAGGAAATGTACAAGGAAAATGTCTAGCATTTCCATTTTGCTCTAAAAAACCCCCTCTGCTTGGGTGTTTCCTGAAGCTCATGCCCCTAGATTGAGAATACAATCATGTGCTTTTCATATCTGTCTAATCCCCATAATATGAATTAGCTCTTTTTTATGCTGTGACACACAGAATGGAATTCATACTCACAACACACTTCCATGGCCTCAATAGATTACTGCCCCGGCATAGATAAGACAGTCTTTGGGTTATGCACCGTTTCCAAGATGTTAGCTTCAAAACCTGGGTACTTTCGCAAATTACTCATCAACCTCAGATCTTTGTTATTAGCACATTTCCACTACAACACCCTCCAACCGACTGCAGTATTCCAGTGTGCTGGGACAGCACATCTGGGAACCACTGACATACCAAAACACAAAAAGCCAGAAGCCATAAGGAACTGATTATGTTTGACAACCCCAAAATCTTTTTTTTTCTTTTTGTTTTTATTGAAATATAGTTGATTTACAATGTTGTGTTAGTTTCCGCTGTATTGAGTATAGTTCCCTGTGCTATACAGTAGGTCCTTGTTGGTTATCTATTTTATAAGCAGTGTATATATGTTAATCCCAAACTCCTAATCTATCCCTCCCCACACCCCTTTCACCCTTGGTAACCATAAGTTTGTTTTCTGTGTCTATGGGTCTATTTCTGTTTTGTAAATGTTCATTTATATCTTTTTTTTTTTTTTTTTTTTTTTAGATTCCACATATAAGTGATACCTGTCTTTGGCTTACTTCACTTAGTATGATAATCTCTAGGTCTGTCCATGTTGCTGCAAATTATTCATTCTTTTTTATGGCTGAGCAATATTTCATTTTATATATAGATACACACCACATCTTCTTTATCCATTCATCTGTTGATGGACATTTAGGTGGCTTCCATGCCTTGGCTATTGTACATAGTGCTTCAGTGAACACTGGGGTGCATGAATCTTTTCGAATTATAATTTTCTCACAACCCCAAAATCCTAAGCTACTGTACAGTGTAGCATATGTGCACACCTGCCCACACACGTTTCTGTTCACACAGAGTAAAAAGGTGAATTTCAAACTGGGAAAATGGCTAATTTCCTTAATTATAAGAGTATTTATAAACCAATAAGAAAAGCTATGAGCAGACCAAAAAGCATGACTCACAGAAAAAGAATGTAAATGGCTAATAAAAATAAAAAATGCTCCATCTAACATACATTTCAAGAAATATACATTGAAACACCTAGTAGGCTGACATATAATCATGCTCAGTGCGGGAGTGAGTATGGTTAAATAGGCATTTTCATGCATTGTTCTTGGAAGTGTAAATTGGTGCCTCCTTTTTCAAAGGGCAGCTAGTCCATTTTTATTTTTGTTATGTGCTTACTTGGCAATTCAACAATTCCAGTTCTAAATATACATTCCTGCAGATACACAAAGAAATATGCATGAGGATATCTACTGAATTGGCTTTGTAATAGTAAGTAATTAGAAATCATCTGATGGCTAACAAAGGAAAACTGACTTCACCAATTATGCTACCTCTGCCTAGTGGACTATTACACGGCCTTTAAAAAGCATGAGGTGTGTCGATAATGGATTGGAGCCCCACACCCCCGTCTATGCAACACCATTCACACTCCATGTGCGTATCAGGGTGTGTTTCTCCGAGAAGACTTGTGTTTGATTTTTCCTGGTACTCTCAGAAGTACCATTCTTACCTACATGATTTGGGAATGTAAACATCCAGGCCCTAAACAGAGGATGGTGACTAATGCCTTTGAAATTCTAGGGAGGAGGGAAGAGCTTGGTTTTTGTTGTTCTTGTTGTTTGTATTAAATCAACTATCCAGAGCCCACGAGAAAATCTGTCTATTTCTCTTAGTTCATAATTTCCCTCAAGGTACAGCTTTTCCTGATTCCAGATTTGTGAGGCTTACCACCTAGCATAAGCCCCAGGCTCAGCCCAGTAAACCTCCTCTCTTCCTCTCTGTGCAGTTTCTATACACAGAAGCTGTAAGTACCGAGGCTTAACGCCATGAGGGTATTTTGGCAATTCTCCCACTTAGTACTTTCCTGGGTAGGTGTTCTTGCTTCATTGCTAGTTTCAAATGATTCTCCTACTTTCTGGCAGTCTCATTACATACAAATAACGTTTTTAAACTTTTATATGTCTTATTGGCAGTGGGTTTGGGGATCTCCAATCCAACATATGACTTTAAAAGAAATCACTCCTTTTCATTTCCCTTTTAAAATACTTTGTTGACTTTTGCATTTGCATATATTTCTCATTGGTGGAGTAAGTTGAAGTAAAAGATAAACTGGAATTAAAAAAAGAATGGGGTGTGTGTGGCGTATATATGCACACACAGAGTTAGTGAAAAACCAAATTGCTGAATAATATGCAACTCCACTTGTAAAGAAACAGAAGGATTTGCATGTACTTTTGCTAGTCTAGACAGAATAGTTCTGAAAGATTCTGTAATGGAAATAGCTCATGCTGAATGGATTTTTACCATGTAGAGGGTGCGTTCATGGATTATTTCATTTAATACTCATAGCAACCCTATTAGAGTTAGGATCATTTTTCTAACTGTTGTACAGACAAGAAAACTGAGATTTAGAGAGATTAAGTAACAGGCCAAAGGTCACACACCGAGTTAGCAGAGTAGGCGAAGCAGGGTGTGGGCCAGGCAGGCTGGTGCCAACATTTGCTCACCTCCTCACTCTGCTGACACTGTTCATAGTGAAAGTGCATATAAGAGGTTCAAACTGGGCCAGGTTGATGAGGTGCTTTCAGTAAATGATGCTGAAGTGCCAGACGTTGTCATGTTCCTGTCTGCGCAGCTCTGATGAGATGCAGACAATAAGCTCTTTATCATACCCCAGCCAAGGAGAGGAGTGTTTTCCTTTTGAACAGCCTAACACAATTAAGAAATGAGTTTCCGTTTCCTTCTCTGAGCAAGGAAAAGCAAAATAACAGATCCCGATTCCCCTATCTACGATGAAGGCAAAAGCCAACAAACAAAACATTACTGTGTATCTGTTGAAAGAAAGGGGAACAAACTGGAAATGAATTCTAATGTATGAGCTGGAAAACTTTCCCTGATCCATTCCTTTTCTCTCCCTCTCTTTGCCTGGTTGGAAAAGACAGGGAGGGCTTCTTTCTGCTTACTTGACTATTCAAGCCCGCGGCTATGCCACACTTTGAAGTATTTTATGATTTCAAGGCTTATTGATGATAAATCCATCTGAGGCTAGGCTGGTCAGTGGGTGGTGGGAACAAATACCATCTCTGAGACTGTGACTTAGTTAAGAGACAGGTTAAGCTGAACTCCACCAAAGGCAAATGAATAAGTAAGGGGTCTGAGGCTGTCCTAAATGGGGTCGACATCTGGGTGGAATGGGGGGGGGGTTATAGAAAAATGCTTGGATTTCATCTTACAGTAGCAAAAGCTACACCTTTTCCTTGTATTCTCTGTCTCTTTCAGTCGAGCTTTCTGGAAAGAGTCTATTAATTTTTTAGAAAAGGCAGGGGAGGAGGATGAAAGAAAAAAGTAAACCCCACCAACAATGAGATTTTCTAGCAATGTTTCTATCAATATTTACTTAGCTAATTGCCTAGTGTTGACATAAACACGCTGCCCTGGTGTGCTACTGAAACTCTGAAAGTTGCCCCACCAGTTACAAGGAGCTGGTAGGAGCCACAGCTCACAAATTCCTCCTTTGAACCCTAGTATTGAGCCGAGCTTTGTCTTCCCATTGTCTGTCATTTACCACCAGGTAAGGTCAGCATGCTAATGGACCGCCCTGCAGTTCGAGTTGCCGTGGAAACCTCCACAGGTCGGGTGGAACTAGAGCTGACCCCCTCAGTGGAGATCCCCACCGCCTGGTCCAAGAAAGCCCGGTGGCCTTTGTGTCTGAAGCGCTGGCCTTCTGCAGAGAGAGTGCAGTGCATCAAGGTATTAGCCTGCAGGGGCCCGGCTCACCAGAGATGCTCTCACCTTAACCAACCACAGCATCACTAACCACGAACCAGCTTCGGAAGGAAAACGGAAATTTCACTAGATCCCCAGAACCTGCAGCGGCACCTGGGAATCTGTGGTAAATGCAGATTCCTGGGCCGTGCTCTGGCCCTAGGGAATGAGGCTCGGTGGGCAGGGCCCAGCTATTTGTGTTCTCACAGGCCCTCCAGGTGATTCTGGGGCAGGCTCAAGTTGGAGAACCACTGCCCAAGAGAAAGTGGACGCAGCCTCCCCAGTTAATTGCCTGCGTGCAAGGGGCTCCCCTGAGGCTCCCTCCGTGTCCCCAAGTGGGATGTGCTGCTCACCCAGTGGCAGGTCCCCCCTCCTAGTGGACTGCTTCGGAGATGGCTTTCTCCTCAACCAGCATCATCCTTCTCGTTTCCCGCTGTTTTTCTCTTCCCGCAGTCATTTGGGTTTAGCTTGTTGGCCTGTTCAAACTATCACTGGCAGCTGAGCTTCTTGCGGGCTGAACGGGTGCTGCTGGAGCAGCTGGATGAGGACGGGGGCTGCCGCAGGAAGTGTCTTCAGGCCATGAGGCAGATGAAGGAGGACGTCTGGTGTCCAGGGAAAAGACCTGTGATCACATCCTACCACCTTCAGGTGAGTGTGCCGCCCCAGCCTAGAGGGCCAGGGCGGCTGGGGCTGGGTAGGTCCCTCTGCGGCCTCTGCAGGGTCACCAGAGCCACTCACAACGGGGGTGTGTGTGATGAGTAGGAGGGGGCCTAGTGTCCATATTTGCCATCTCACAAATTCGTACTCCTTATGGAGATATACAGCCCCAGCTGCGTGCATGTCCACAGCATCCCTGCCCAGGGCCCCTGTCCTCCACCTCCTTTCTTCCCGCTTCCAGTTTCCCTCTTCCCTTTCTTCCTTTCTGTCTTGCCTTCTCTCCCTTTCCCTCTCCCCTCCTTTTATTTCACTCAACAAACCAACACAAGCGCCCACTATGTGCCAGAAACCCGGCTGAGGTTCAGAAATGAATGACAGCATGCAGTCTCTGCCCCTGAGAAATCTACAGTCTGGTGAAATCTTGGGAGTTCCTCAAACCTGAGATGGATTCACATTTTCCCTCACGTTATGACTCATTCAGTCCCCATTCTAGCCCAAGTGCAGCCATTCATGCACACACACATACACACTCACACACGCACTCTGTGCAGAGGAGAAAACCAGGAAATGTTGGGGTACCCGACAAACCTGGCAGCAAACCTGAACTTCTGGGTTGCAAATCACCAGGCAAGGACTTACCATTAGACAGCCATAAATGCATTCACTCACTCACTCAGCAAATGTTCATTGAGATCCCTGTGGGCCAGTCCCTTGCCCCCGCACCTGCTGTGTGCTCTACACCTGGCGGTACAAGGTGAACAACGCAGATGTGGTTCCTGCTCTCACGGAGCCTGTGGTCCAGCAGGGGAGACAGACGTTGGTCAATCAGTCTGCAGGTGTGCCTGGAATCGTGCCACGTGGGGGAATGCTGGGGTGGAGAGGAGCGTTGCTCTAGGAAGGCTCAGGGTAGCAGAACCTGACCTGGACCAGGGCATCAGGGGGTCTCCCCTGGGGAGATGGCCTTTGATCACACTCTTAGCTCCTTTCTCAAATTTCTGACCACCCATGGTGAACTGGATGCTCGGGTAATACTGCGTGCAGCACACTGTGGTGGGGGGAGGTATCAGACTCTTAGTAGCCCCAGCCCAGCTAGTATCCATCCTGGAGCTTCAGCCCTTCTCCCCGACCTTCTACACAGGTGAGCACAGGTCCCTGGGGTGTGCGGTGCCTTCCTTGCATGCTCCTACCTGGGCCTCGTCTCATCCAGTAGACAACCATTTCCCAGCCCTGTGTTACTCTTTCGGGCCTAACACAAGCTATTTAGGGGCAACTCATACCGATCCCTTGGTATCTCTCCCAATGGTTTGTATGTAGTAGTTGCTCAGTAAATATTTGCTGATCATCTGAATGAATGACTTCAGATGGGGACTCCACTTTCCCCCCCAGCAAAATTGTTCATCTTTGTTTTGCTTTCTTATCTTTTCTGATAACCTGTTCTCCCTGACCTGCCCAAGAATCTGTTAACATCTCATTTGCACATACTGGGGCCTTTCTCTCCAGTTTCACCATTCTTAAAGTGTCCCCAAACATGTCCCCCTAAAAACACACACCTGTTCTCCTGGATCGAGGACACGTACTTTCTGAAGCTAGTCTAATTCATTTCAGGTATTTAGCTTCTTTCTTACTTGCCTTTCCACTGGCCACACTAGGAAAAGTCAGAGCTGACAAGGAAACTCCAGGCGGTCTCATATCAAATCTCATACTCTTAACTAACCACTGACTTCACTGCTCCACAATTAGGATGGATGAAAACACTTTAAGTACCGTGAGTATTTTAGAAAGATTGAATAGGGCCACCACGGGCCTCCCAGCCCTTGACTGCTCTCAAAACTGCATTCCATCCAGGATTTACTTGTATTCCAGTGGCTTCTAAATCATCTAGAGGAGTTCAGGGCAACTCCTTAAAGGTCCCCTGTTTTAGTCTTCCCTAACCCACCTACACGGCATAATAAAATTGTGCATTCTCAAGAATGAGCATTTAAAAGGGGGTTATTTGTTGAGAAATCGAAACAGTACTGACTGCCTTTTCCCCTCGTCTTCCACCCTTGTCCAAGGGTAGAATTCTCTCACATGGAGGCATTGGGATGGATGTGGCTGCTGGTAATGTGGTATGAGATACCATCCTGGATGATGGCTTGAGTGTGCAGGATCCTTGCCAAGACTTTAGTCTGGGGAAAGTGGAAGACACTGTGTTGCAAAACAGCATCAGGAAGGATGTGCCAATCGTGGGCACCTCCTAGAAGGTCTTTACCTCCTCCCCAAAGAGGCTTCTCGCCCATAGCAATTTCATGTGAAGAAAGAGCTTATCTTTCATTGGCTTATTTATTCCTAAACCTGCTCAAAGGCACAGAGGCTTGCTTATAATAGGCTTAACTGCTTCTGTTTGCTTAGGGAGATAAAAGCTTAACTACAAGAGGAATTAAAACATGTTTTTTATTAGGTTATCTTGACTAGCATGAAATTATCTCCAACTCATTTACTCAAAACAATGTACTCCAAATCAAAACACATTCAATATCTTGCTGTGAACCTAAAACTGCTCTTTTACTTTTTAGGAAAGTCTATATTTTCAAAATACTCAGCGTCTAAACCCAAACATTAATTATTTCACTCAGTCAATAAATGTCAACTGACTGCCTCCCGTGGGCCAGTCCCTCTGCTGAATGTAGTAACATCAGCGTGAATACAAATAGGTCTAGTCCTCTGCTCACGTAGAGTTTGCCATCTAGCAGGGAATCACCTAAACACATAGGAAGACGACCACCACTGTCATCATTGCTGCATATGGGAAGTATGGGATGAAGAGAGTGCTTAATGGGTGTCATAGGGAAGTTTGATCTGATGGATGAGTTTCCTGGGCAAGTTGGGGAAGGAAGTATGCTCCACGTGGAAGAAGTGGGTTGTGAAAGGCCCTGTGATAGAAGAGAGCATGAAACGAGGCCAGTGTGGCTAGAAGGAAAGAGGGAGGGAGAACACAGGGCGAGATGAGGCTGGAAAGGAAGGGAGGGACCAAACCTTGTCAACTAAACCATGCTAAGGATGGTATTTTTTAATTAACAAACAATGGGAAGACTTTGAAGTATTTTAGACAAGAAGAAACATAGACCGATTTATATTTCAAAGAGATCACGTTGGCTGCAGTGTGGATGACGACAGATAGGATGGGGACAAGAAGAGGTGCAGGCTGTGGCAGAGGTCCGGGCGAGGCACGGTGGGAGAGGGTGATCATATTGGGTGGATTGAAAAATACGCAGGCAGCAGGATTGGCAGGACTTGACTGGAGGTGGTGAGGGAGGGGAGTGACTCCTAGGTTTGCGTCTTGCATCTTGCGTAACAGGCTGGATAAACAACCCTGGAAGCACACGAGGTATGTGGGGGAGGGCCAGGAGTTCAGTTTGGACATATGGACTGAGATAACTTTCAGATGGCCAAGAGATACCAGGTAAGGATGTCAGAGGAGAAGTGTGAACCGGAGAAAAGAAATAGCAAGTTATCTATATTTAGTGGCAGAAGAGGGCCTGGAACGGAGCCCCCAGAACTCCAGCATTAGGGCGGGTGGAGGGTTAGCACTCCAAGGCGTAGCTGCACTGCTCAGAGAAACCCACTTGGAAGCCAAGTGAAGAATGGCTCAAGAGTGAGGGTATGCATGAGAGAAAACCAGATTCCACTGAAAGGTCGGGTAGGGTGAGAGCTGGAAAGAGCCTGCTGGATTTAGCAAACATGGGGATCCCTGGACCTTAAGGAGAGCAGCCTTTGAGGACTGATGGCAGAAGAATCCATATTGGAGTGGGTTAAGGCAGGAAATCAGAGGAGAGGAAATGACAAATTATTAAGATGATTCTCTGCAGAAACCTGGATTTGCAGAGAGGTGAGAGTTAGGGCAGCAGGGAGATGTGGCACTTGGGGAGCAGGAGAGCTTTGATAGATTTAAAAGCCAATGAGGAAGAAGGAACTCAATCATTTACAGTTCCTGGAAGGGGGGATCCCAGCCCTGCAGAGAGATTTTCCCAGGCTAGGGGGATGCGGAGAGGAAGATACCAAATGAAGGAACGATGGCTTGTTTGCACGCACGAGGCATTTCCCCTGTAAAGGAGGCAAAGTCATCTGCCACGTGTGGGGAATTGTGAATTTTAGGAGAGTGGTGATCATTGGAAATGCCAGTGGAGAGAGAATAAATCACCAAAGAGGCATAGGAGACCAGCAGGAGAAGGCTGAGAGCCCGTCCAAGGCTGGGGATCATAAATCCACGGCAGACCCAGCTTGCCCCTGGGGCTCCCGTCTCCTCCTTCCAAGGCCACGTGAGCTCAGGAACGTTCCCGAAGACACTCTCCTCAATAGACCGGGACGATGTCTGACACCGCCTCTTCCTTCCACAGACAGTGCTCTTCTGGACTTGTGAGAAGTATCCCCACCCAAAGGACTGGCGGGTCTTCAGCAGAGCGTTCCTGCGCCTGGTAAGGAAGCTGCACAAGTGCGTGAGCCAGCGCTTTCTGAAACACTACTTTGTGCGGAAGAGCAACCTCCTGCGGTACGCCAATTCAGGCGAGCTGGGGGCCCTGGCCCAGAAGCTGGCCTCCTTCCTGAAGAACCCCCAGAGCAGCCTGCCCTGATGCTGCCCTGCGTGGGACGCTCTTGGACATTTCATTCAAGCTTGACCTCACTCTCTGTGGATCGTTCCTCAGTCAGAGGCCAGGATCCTGCCCGGGAGAGAAGCAACGGATGGCAGAGGAAAATTCCATCAACCCAGAAGCACTTCAGGGGGGAAAGCTGTGCCCCAAGATGTCTGGTCCAGGCCTCCCTGCAGCCAAGCAAGCATCTCTGCCCCCACTAGCTACCTCTTTGGGAGACAGCTCTCATCAAGTTTCCCCGAGCCATAGTTTCCGAACTGATGACAGTTCTGAATTTATTTTCCCTTGCTCAGACTCTGGTTGTCTGTCAGGGAGGATGTAGAGAGAACCCCCGGAAGGCCAGGCATCAGCCTGCTGCCCACGAGTGGTTCTCCAGCCCACTGACCACGGGCTCATTATTTTCCCATTTGTAAAATGGGACTGTTCGTATGCCTCCCTCAGAGCAGGGCTGCGAGCCTACGGACTGTGCTGCTGCCCTTTCAAGGGGAAGGTGCTGGATCCACATAAAGTATTACTCGTTGATTTAGTGGCTGGTGTTTGCATTCAGGATCAGTATCTACACCACTGATTAAATGATTACGTCTGATGGGTTAGCATGCCCGTGTGCCCTCCAGTTCTCCTGAACTGTGGTTCAGCCTTGTGGATCTGCCTGCTTCCCTGGTGTTCTCTGAGAAGGGAGGAGTGGTTTTGATGACTAGTGCAGTCAAAGATGAGAGTGCAGCAACCCCAGTGACTGCCCTTCCTTGCTTCCCATGCCGTGGGTCAGGGATGAGACATCCTTCTATTTATGGAATGAACTCGGTACTGTGATCTGCATGCAATGACTTTGGTGTCCCTCACCTCTCAGTTCCTTCCTTTGCTCACTTAGTGGTTCACTTCCTCATTCATTGATAAATATATACGCATTAGGTAGTGGGGATGCAGCAAAAGCAAGATGGGCAAGGACTCACCTGATGCAGATGATGCCTAATGGTAAAGACAGGAAATGAACAACAGATAAACACATTTGGTTATTACAAATTGTAGCGAGTGGCCTGAAGAAAATAAACAGAATATGGAAATAGAGCCACAGAGAGATCCTTGAAGGATGAAAGTGCAAACAGCTGAAAGGGAAGAAAAGGGGGCCAAGGGCAGACTTAGAGGGGCTGGCATGAGCGAGATCACTTGGCCTTGTAAACCTGGTAAGGAATTTGTATTTTACTCTAAAATCAGATGTGTGATATTTGACCTCTCCAGAAGGAGAAGGGTATTATGATTTGATCTGCATTTTAAATGCCCATTCCGGCAACTGTGTAAAGGGGGTCTGGGGACCCACACGAGGATGGGGACACTGAAGGCCCTTGAGCCCACTCATTTTGAATTTCACCGAGGTCCTCAAGGCCACACATCCTGTGACACACACACACCAGGAATTCTAGGAGTTCTCGGGAGATCCATAGTTTCTTCTGGCACTTATTTACACTTCTCAATTCAAGGGAATCCTTTATTACTTAGAACATTTTCCCCAGATAAGTAATTTCTAGAAGCAAGAACTGCTGATTCTTTTTTAAATAAAAGTCACATGTGAAAATGAAAACAATTATTTTTACAAAAATACTGTAACCAAGTGGTGGGGTCCTTGGACCATCATATAGGAAATCATGGTTTTAAAATGTTGAACAAACTTACAATCAGTCTATAGTTTTTGAAAACATGAAAGTATGAACAAACCAATATTTTATTAAGTCATCAAAACCTGCATTCAAATTCTCATATTCTTGGATCCTGAGAAACATCATTTTCGAGAAGGTGGCAGATACATATTTTTTAATGATGAAAACAACTGACACAAGTTTTAAAACAGCTGCACAGTCATGGAATGCCAGGTGAAAGTTGACTGTACCATTGATTTGAAATGTATGTATACGTATGGAAAGGAGCGGGACTGACATACTCCACCGTCTGACTCCAGTAGATTCTTCCCACCTTTCCCTATGGATTTGTAGTTTTTGAATGAAGCAGGACTGTCTACACATTCCTGGGTGTTCCCAACTGCTGGCCAGCAGAGAGCAGTGGGGGACTGCCTATGAAAAGAGCCAGGTTCCCACCCATGCACCGCAGAGCCCAGCAGGTGTCGCCCTCCTCAGCTCATAATTTACACCGGGCTTCTCCAAAAAGGGAACCAGGGACTGAGGGCTTCAGCGGATGCTGAGTTGTTGGCCTTTACTGCTGTTTTGGCCAAAAACTACAGTCTTTTTGATTAAAGCTCAGATTTAAAAAGGGAGTGTATGAGAGGACAGTTCATCTGTTCTGTTTCCTGGGACAGATTGCACAGCTCTGAAAGTCTAATAATATAATAGTACTCCTTTATTCGGAAGCTTTTTTTTCTTTAATTCTCTAAAAGGCTTTTTTCATGCATCTCCACTCTTCTCGGCACCAGACTGTTTTTTAGTGGAATCGTTGGCATTCAGAGACTGCAGTTGATCTGCTTGCATTTGCACCCCAGCTCTTACACTGTACCTACATGCCCTTGGCAAGTTGTTCAACCTCCCTAAATCTCCATTTCTTTATGGGCATTGTTATGGGCTGGATTGTGTCCCCCAGCCTCCAAATTCACATGTTGAAGCCCTAACTTCCAGTACCTCAGAATGTGACTGTATTTAGAGCTAAGGCCTTTAAAGAGGTGATTAAGTTAAAATGAGGCCCTTAGGGTTTGGGCCCTAATCCAATAGGACTGATGTTCTTAAAAGAAGAGGTAGAGACACCACGGGCAAGGGTGCAAAGGAAAAAGGCCATCTGCAAACTGAGCAGAGGCCTCAGGAGAAACCAGCAAGGCTAGCACCTTGATCGTGGGCTTGCAGCCTCCAGAGCTGTGAGAAAATAATTTTCTATTGTTTAAGCCATGCTGTTTAAGTCTGTGGTATATTGTTATGGCGACCCTGGGAAATGAATACATCATAAGAGAATATATACCTCACTGCTTTGATGGGGGGAATAAACAGAGCAATGGATGTACAAAACTCTTAGTTTAGACGTGGCATGGAGTAACTGTGGAATAAATGTGTAGCATTTTAGATGCCTACTCCTCATGTCCGTTTGTCCATTTGATAACTACCACCACCCCACAGATAAATTCTTCACAAAGAAATTAGAAACCATCACAAGGAAAACATGCCCCAAATACACCACATAGTCCATAAACCCATCTTTTCCTTTGTCACTCTTGCTGCAATAGAGGAATATCTCTCCCGATTTCTCCACGTGTGATGGGCTGGCCCCCCAGCTTCTCAGGGCCATCTTCCCTGTAGCATCCTCCACACCCTGCCCCAACCACCACCTGCCTCTCTTCCCCCCTTTCTATCCAGCTTTCTGAATTATTATACATGTGTCTCCACTTCCTTACCTCTTCACACTTTTCTAATTGTAAAAAATATCGTACATGCGAGAGTCTAAACTGTTTCAAGAATTATAGTAAAACAAATACCAATATACTCACTGTCTAGGTGAAAAAAATAACATTTTGCCAATACTTTAGAATTCTCCTAGGTGACCCTTCCGTTCCTTAGCCCACTCTCTCCCTGAACATAGGTAATTGTGATCCCAAATTTTAGGTTAGTCATTCTGCTGCTTTTCTTTCATTCTACCACCTATCATATTTCATTGAACCTAAGCCCCCAACAGTTGTGAGATGCATTATTATTTCATGTCTAAGAAAGAAAAAGTGCTGCTAAGGGTAATTACAAAACACCACTGATTGTAAGATGCATCCTAATTTTAGAGGATGAGATGCATCCTAATTTTAGAGATTAAAAGGTGAAAAAGTAAATTTTAGAATCAACAAAATGTGACACGCGGGACTTCCCTGGTGGCGCCGTGGTTAAGAATCTGCCTGCCAATGCGGGGGACACGGGTTGGAGCCCTGGTCCGGGAAGATCCCACATGCCACGGAGCAACTAAGCCCGTGCGCCACAACTACTGAAGCCCGTGTGCCACAACTACTGAGCCCACATGCCACAACTACTGAAGCCTGTACCCCTAGAACCCGTGCTCCGCAACAAGAGAAGCCACCACAATGAGAAGCCTGCACACCACAACCAAGAGTAGCCCCCGCTCACTGCAACTTGAGAAAAGCCCACGCGCAGCAACGAAGACCCAAACGCAGCCAAAAATAAATAAATAAATTTATTAAAAGAAAATAAAAGAAACACTGTTCTTGATAAAGATGCAGTCAGAAATCATTTTTTAAAAATGCGACCTGCGTACATCCCAATTGTCTTTTTAGTTTTGCCTGTTTTTAAGCTTTATGTATATGGAACCATCCTGAACGAAGTTGTCTGTGATTTGCTTCTTATGTCCACAGTACACCTTTGAGACACCTTTGGATGCATGTGGAGTGGTGTGTTCCTTTTAGCTGCTGTATAATATTCCTCTGTAAGATTATGCCACTTTATATATTTATGTTACTGCAGTTAGGCATTTGGGTTGTTTATAGTTTCAGTGATTTGAACTGTCTTTATGCACAGTTTTATATGTCTTCTGATGCTCTCAAGTCTTTTAAGGGTACATACATAGGAGTGAAATTTCAGGTTAAAGGAATAAATGTGTGTTTAAGTTTATGAGGTAATGTCAACATATTTTCTGAAGTGATAACACTGATCTAAATTCTTCGTTTTAACATAGGTGAATTTTCAGTGACTTTCTCCATTATAATGGAGCACATTTTGTGTCTTGTTTAAGAAATCTTTCCCATTCATTTTTTTTAAGGTCATGGAGATCTGCTCCTATATTGTTCTCTAAAATTTTATAATTATGCCTTTCACCAGGTTTAGGAAGTGCCCTCTATTTTTTCTATTCTATTCTATTTCATGCATAAATTATTCTTGAAAGTTTGGTAAAACTCACCTATGCCGACTGGGCCTTCTGTTTTCTTTGTCAGAAGATTTTAAACTATTTATTTTCTTTTAGGGATAAAAGATATTCAGGTTTTCTAGTTCTTCTTGAGC